CACTAGATGGAGTTACGACCTGAAATGCTTTGCAGGGAGTCCGTGGATGCAGGTGGCTCAGGACCGTTGTTTATGGCAGTCTATTATGGGGTAGGTTTTTGTCCAGCAGAAATGATGATGATTCGACCGCCAATATGCCATTCATTGTTCCCCTACATATACACACACCGATGCATGATGAAACCACGAGACCCAGTTGTACTAATCAATAATAAAACAATAAAGTTGTAAAATGTGGCCAACGGTCTAGATCTAGCCACGAGGGTTGAAAACCTGTTGTACGTTTTTTTTATACAACTTAGAATGGCAAACAAGCTGACGGCCCACCTGATGGAAAGTGGTAACCGTCGCCTATAGACATGAGCAGTACCATGCACATAACAGAGTATACTGTTTCACCCATGATACCCCCTATGCATTGCCATTCCTAAGGAATCAGGTGTTCTGTTCCCAGTAAATTCCCGCCATATCCCACCCTTCAAACCGAAACACAGCCATGCAAACACAACTGCTTCACGGTTGAAACACGAATGGAACAGAGGTGCCCAAGCAATCGACTTTTGTACAAAGTCTCCCTCTGGTACGTTAAGCGTAATAGAATTCATTTCGTACTTTACACCGAGTTTAATGTCAATTTTCTGATTTTAAAGCCAGGATACCCTATGTAATAGAGGTGTCCAACCAATCGATCTCGAACGATCGGTCGCTCTAATTTGATTCGATAAAATAAACACATTCTAAGTCAGACGTCGATTACATTCTGATTGTTTTAGTAAATACTTGCAGTGGTCTAAATCGGGGATGGTTAACCAGTCGATCTCGACTATTAGTCCAGTCGATCGTGGTGAGGCAAAAAATATAATAGCGAAAGATGCTTAGACGCAATGCTCACACTAATATAAATAAGTAGTTACTAAGGATAATTTGCAGTTTTATGTTTACCCTCTTTATAAAATATACTGCAATACTACATAATTGTGTACCGAACTATGTTGTTTCATTTGTGATTTCAACAAGTATGTAATTGGTAGATCGCACAGGGTTTCGTTAGTGAACAGTATATCTTGGGTCTAGTCAAGTAGGCCACTCCTGCCCTATGTTATTGGTAAGGAATAGATTGTTACTAATTTATTTATTTATCTATTTGAAAATTACTCACCACACTTACAGTCTCCCAAAACGTGTAGTGAGCCATAGGTTTATTTTACAAACTTACAAATTTTGTACAACATTTGTTGAGTACCAGTCACATTGTTAGCAAAATATGGGGAGGCACCAGTAAAGGATGATAGGTGAGGATGCAGACATGCCAATTAATCCATCGTGACGAATACACCTGGAATTAACAAACATGTTTTCCAGACGGGGACCGTGTGGAGGTCGACCTGACGGTATTATTGCTAGCAAAGGGGTTGCTAGTCACCATTAACAACAACCCCCTCCCCCTAATAATCATCATTGTTTACACTATATAATAGACAAGAACAGTATCATGGGCGACATAGTGTACTCTGTTATGTCCATGGTATAGGCGACAGTTACCACTTCCATCAGGCGGACCGTCAGCTTGTATGCCATTGTAAATTGCATAAACAAAGCTCCGTCAACATTAACGAATTGTGTGTTTTGAACATAATTTCATGTCCCAATCATATCTTCACGCTATTTAGCCCCTTTTGTAGTAGCCTATATAGTATTTTTATCAAACTACAATCTACAAATAATTATTAAAAGCACTCGCTTCATAAACACGAAACCCCGAAGCGGAAACATCAAACTTTCCGCCTGCTCAAACGAATTTGTACCTTAACGTTATAATCTTATGACATTTGTAGTATCAACCACGGATCATTTTACGTTGGCCCTATGGTACCGTTATGGAAACCATTGTTCCCTATACTTCAGTAACCTTGGGTGGTTCGTTGAACTCACCGAAAAGGGAGAGAGATAATAGTCCCATCTCTTCTAGCTTAATTAAACTGGTGCCTCTTTAGTGTGTTTTTAAACTATATTTGTATATAAAAACAGCTCCTTGTTTGTAGTTTATTTTTTCGCTCTATTCAAGATGTTCTAGTCGTATATTTATACATCTATCTTGTTTACTATTGGGGTGGGCAGAAATTATTTAGTTTGAATAAGAAGATACACCACAGGGTGTACGTACGAAAGTCGTTTGCTTGGGTACCTCTATCCCATTCGAGTTTCAACCGTGAAGCAGTTATGTTTGCATGGCTGTGTTTCGGTTTGAAGGGTGAGATATGGCGTGAATTTACAGGGTACAGAGGAATAACACCTGAGTCCTCAGGAATATTCCCATCCCATATAGTTAAGTATATATTTAACTTCGTACTAATTGGTTAAGCCGTTAAGGCACTAAGAGGTAATAAACACAATTTCACATTTACAATATTTGTAAGTGTAATATTATAATAACATTTGTACTTTTAATAATTAAACATTTTGTACCACGAAAAAAAAAACCGCGATTATCTCTTTCAGACCCAAGGTTTTTTTTTCCTTCAGATAAAATATATTTTCGTGTTTCGGAGCCAAGCCATCTTGCCGGCACGCACGAGACTACTGCACCTAACCTAACCTAACCTAACCGCTAAAATGATTTCTTATTGGCTGGTTTAGAATCTCACTATCATGTTATTTCAGCTTCGTGCGTAAAAATGAATTGCGCGCGGTTTTAGAATTTTTTAAAGTTACAACTCACGCCCGTATCGTTCAGGTCTAAAAGGGATATAAATAATAAAACTATAAATAGCAAATATATACAAAAATGTATGAAAAAAAAATTGTGGCAATACCAAAAAAAAAGTGTACAATCAATCAATCGCACCAGTTCCTTAATCCTTAATTTGACAGAAAAAATCTTATTTTTTTTTGCCAATAATATATGTTTTAGGATGTTTAAGGACCTTGTAAAAAATAATAAAAAAAAATTCTTCCCCTTATTGAGAGAATGCATGCCCTCTGTGTCGGCCATTGCCAAAGTATAGTAATAAAACAATATTGTAAAATTAAACTTTATTTTATTACAAAATATAGTCGTATATTGCATTTTATGCAATATACGACGATGCTGTCACGCGGTAAATTCTTTTTTCTACTAAAAATATTAACTACGGTGCGGATTATGAAGTATAGCTTATTACCGCTACTTCGTCCATGTGACCGGGATAAAGAGAAGCCAATATTCTTCTCCATCCAATATTGTATGTGTATACTAAATTTCATAGTGATAGGTTAAGCCGTTAACGTGCTATACGGTAACAATATAAACTTTCACATCAACACAATACATATAATAAAATCGTAACTGTTCACTGTCTGTACATGAAAGATATATAAGAAAAACTATCATAGGGAGACTTTATGAACGCAACAGAACCCAAAACAAAGATATTTAGAATTTTTGTCCGTTTGTCTGTATGTTTGTGCACGCTAATTTTTAACGGCTTAATCGATTTGGATGCGGTTTTCATAAATGCGTTACGGTTTGTTTCACTTAACATTTTATTATATATTTAGTGTTTATTATATTTATATTATATTTAGATTCATAAATAAAAAAATATATATTAATCTAAAGAATCGCATATAAAATGCTACAAAATAACTGATTAGTTGAATTGGCTGAAATGTTATGAAAGTGGATTATATACTCATAACTCGGAGGATATTTTATATACCGATTTGCGCGGGCAACGTCGCGGGAAACAGCTGGTTTATATTATCAGTAAGGATTAAATAAAGGCACAGAGTATATACGAGGTCTGTCCGGAAAGTTCGTATAAAAGTGTTCTGGAATGCGAGAAAGAGGAGTGGGGAGGCCAGGTAAGCGCAGGACCCCTTCCTTATGTCCCTAACAATGCTTCAGTTCTGGTCTGACCGCCGTGCGGTGCGAACTGGCTTGTCACGCCATCTGTGAAGTTACCTCTTAACGAAACCCCGTCGGCATGGAGCCCGCTTCCGTTGAAGAGCAGCGCGTCGTAATCAAGTTTCTCTCGAAACTCGGCAAGAATGGCCGTGAAAGCAAAGAGTGGAAGACATCCGGGGAACCACGAACAAAAAAATCAAGAAAATCCCGCTCAAATGTCAAGACAATGTTGATTGTTTTTTTCGATGTTCGGGGGATTGTCCATCAAGAATTCGTCCCTCCAGGCCAGACAGTTGATGGAAAATTCTACGTCGATGTGCTCAGACGCCTCAAAGCTCGTGTGGCACGAGTTCGTCCAGAATTGGCGCGAGAGGGGCGTTGGATTCTTCACCACGACAATGCCCCTGCCCACACCTCTCTTGTTGTCCGTGAGTTTTTGAGTAAAAATTCCATTACGGTGACCGAACACCCCCCTATTCGCCGGATTTGGCCCCGTGTGACTTCTTCTTGTTCCCAAAAACCAAATTGGTACTTCGGGGGCGGCATTTGGGGGACATAAATGAGATAAAAAAAGCTACGACGGGGCAGCTGAGAAACCTACAACCAGAGGACTTTCAAGGAGCCTTCTCACAGTGGAAACGGCGTTGGCACAAGTGCATTATGTCACAGGGGGAGTACTTTGAAGGGGATAAAATTGATTTACCTGAATAATTGTAAAATAAAATTTTTAAAAAACTTTTATACGTACTTTCCGGACAAACCTCGTACATTTTCATAAGCGGACAAATCACTGCATTATCACATTCTTAACCATCACAGAAAGGGGGGAAAGGGATTGTTAGTAATGAGATTTAACAGCCCCATTGCTATCAATACACCCTGTCAGGTCGAACTCCAAGCGGTTCCCCCTGAAAACCATAGTGGTTAATTCTTGTTCAATTAGTCACTATGGACCAACTGACCTGCCTTTATCCTCACCTGTCACCCTTCACTGGTGCCCCGTCAACGTATACCGATAGCGCAGGCGGGGTTACCATTCCATCTTCACCCATTAAAAGAAAAGATCACCACAGAAGCTAAGCCTATTAGTTGTTCAAACATAATACCTTTGCAGACATGCTACGAGATGGCACGGTACCTACGCGAGGAACCTAGGAAGAGGAGAGAACCACACCAGGAGGAGGAATGGGCCATCTCCGCCACCTCGTCTCCCACCTCGCCGCAGTCCCCGAGACTGTTCACAATCACCGCGGTGAAGAGCGAACCGCCGAGCGATTCCGACGAACTCGAAATTAAAGGTGAGCTTTACGAAATAACTGCCGTTAATTACAATATTTTTTACCTTTTTCTTACCCGACTTGATCCGCGTATTTTATGGTTTATAAGAAATAGGAATTAACCCGATTATTTAAGTCATCATCATCATCATTATCTCAGCCATTATCCGTCCACTGCTGAACATAGGCCTCCCCCCATAGACTGTCATAAGGAACGGTCCTTAGCCACCTGCGTCCACTGACTCCCTGCAATGGATTAGAGGTCGTCACCATTGCCACTCAAGAACCTTTCTTCCCTATCGGTTTTCTGTTCTTCAATTACCATTTAAGTGAATTATGACTATTTATCCGAAATATGTTCTTGTGATGTAGTACAAGTGGTTAGAAAAAAATGTCTGCCTCGGAAGCAGAAACACGATCTAGAGTCTATCAGTCACTTTCAAATTTATCGGTGTTAAAATTAAAATAATTTTATTTTTGTCTGCATTCATTCATTTACATTTTTAATACGCGATGCATCCAACATGTGAATGTATGAATGCACGTTCACATGTTTGTTAGATCGCGGTGTCAAACATGTGAATGAATGAATGCACATTTACATGTTTGTTAGATCACGGTATTAAACATGTGTATGAATGCAAATTCGCATGTTTGTTAATTTTGCATTTGAATGAGCAATTCAACAATTTTATGTCAATGTATTTTATAATTTTAACAGGAATTGAATAAAATTAAATATTTAAGTATGAATTTCTCATTTCGTCGTTCCTTTTCATTTGTTTGTACATAAAAAAGATAATATAAGTAGCAATGAGGGTATGGAACGTGGAAATTATTCCTAGAAAAAATATCTTCGAATCGACCTCGGGAATAATGAAAGTATTTCCCACTGGGATTTGTAGAAAATTGTAATTCCATCTTATAATTAATTTGTAATATACAAAAAAAAATAAAAAAAAAATACTTCCAATCGTGAGAAAACTATTTTATTTTAAAAATAAAACTACAGAAACGATTTTGATAAAATTTCTATTAGACCGATCTGTAAGTATATCCTTTCAGATAAATAATTCCAAATTGATTTTCAACTGGCAGCGTTATGAGGTAACAAACATAAAAAAAAATACAACCGAAGTCTTTCTTCCGGAAGTCGTTTGAAAATTGTAACATACTAGCTGTATGATACGGCTTTACTAGCGTGATACAATATCTAAAGTATCCTATGTACTTAATCAGGATATAAACTACCCGTGTACCAAGTTTCATTAGAATCCGTTTAGTAGTTTTTACATGATAGATCAACAAACATCCGTTTGTTTCCAATTGTTAAATAACAATATGAATACCTTACCCGTGAGTGTCGTAACAGGTGATTAAGGGAACTTAATAGTTGAGAGATGGGCAGCAGCGTCCCTCTTAAGACATCAACAAAGTCGAACTGCGGTTGCCAACCCGGCTTCCAAGCGTGGCAACTACTGGCAAAACTGCTTATGGGGAAGGCTTATGTTCAGCAGTGGACAGTTAAAGGCTGGTATGATGTTGATGACGAATCTCACCAGTCGTCTGGTCTTCAAGTTAGGATACCCTGCGTCGAATCAGTCAACGAACATCTGGTGATTCAACCCGGAACATCCAGATCGAAGCCAATTTAGAAAAGTTACTTTCTTAAATTGGCCCGACAGGGAATCGAATCCAGGACCTCATTTACACAAAGCAACCTAACTATCACTATACCTTGGAGGTCGTCATTGAATGGATCATCATTTCAGCCGTTAACTGACCACTGAACATAGGCCTCTCCCACAGACTACTATAAGGAACAGTCCCAATTCCAACTGTATACACTGACTCTTTGCAAAGCATTTAAGTTCGTCGCTCCATCTAGTGCATGGTCGTCTTACACTAAATGGATGATACAAAAAAATAAGAAATTTTACGTAGACTATCTAAAAGTCTGTCCACTATGTCGAGACCTCGGGTACCTCTGTCCCACTCTTGTTCTATAGCTTGTATAGGTTGGACAGTGAAATTACAAGGTACAGAGTTATAGCTTAGTTCTTAGCCTCAGGTCCTTAGGTTATGCCTGTAGGCGACGATTACCACTTTCCATCAGGTGGACCGTCAGCTTTTTTGCTGTATTATTATATTGTTTATTATTATAAGGAAATGTGACTTTATGGTAATTAATAGAATAAGTTTTATTTATATTTATCATTTTTTGCCTTTGTCTTTTATGTTAGGATATAGCGAAATTTATTTATAAAATGACGTCATTTGCAATAAGCGATTTTAATCATACGATCATTTGATGTGAACTGCACCTACATACAGGGTGTAAAGGACATGTTGGCAAAAACTGAAATAGTGAATTCAGACAATTATTCGAAACTTTAAACCAGTGATAATTCTTTCTGAAAAATTTCAAATTTTTTCCTATTTTTTTTTTCTTTTCATTTAAAATTAGGTAATCTGTGATGTTATGTCATAATAAAAAGAGAGAATAATATTTTATAGTGAAATACTATATAATACCAAAAAAAAAACAGCAATGTAGTATACGTATTGAAATCCTACCGCGACGCGCGAAATCAACTGTGTAAGGTTTTTTTTTTTTATACAACTTAGAATGGCAAACAAGCTGACGGCCCACCTGATGGAAAGTGGTAACCGTCGCCTATAGACATGAGCAGTACCATGGGCATAACAGAGTATACTGTTTCGCCCATGATAGTCCCCATGCGCTGCCATTCCTGAGGACTCAGGTGTTATTCCTCTGTACCCAGTAAATTCACGCCATATCCCACTCTTCAAACCGAAACACAGCCATGCAAACACAACTGCTTCACGGTTGAAACACGAATGGGACAGAGGTACCCAAGCAATCGACTTTTGTACAAAGTCTCCCTCTGGTCAATGCCACAAGCGTACGGAGACTACCTACGAAGAAACGCTACTGGGCATGCGTTATCGGTATCACGCGTCGTGTGGATCGTAAAATTTCAAATACATTGCGCGGCGTATTAATTATATGGCTGTGTTGCATTTCTGGTGGGAAAATTATATACCATTTGATTCAGTTCATTCATCTGAATCAGCTGTTTTCGTTTTGGCCAACCTGTCTCTTACACCCTGTATACATTTTACTCACATGTCGTCATAGTCGTAGAATACTGACGGATCTTTATATGTAATATTTGTCAGATCCGTCAGTATTCTACGACTATGACGATGTGAGAGAATATAAAATTTATTGGAAATTGTTTGAATTGATTTACTAATTTAATATAATTTACATATAAGTTGGTTTTTATTTTTTTTTTAAACTGAATTTTGTACCGAGATAGTGTGAATATACTTCTATCACACTATGTCGGCACAGAATTTAACACATTTGTACAATAAAATTACTAACACTGTTGCAATTTTTTTTTTATTTATTTATTTACCATATTGTACACGCTAATTATACATAAAAATATGACAGAGGTAATCAAATGTACAAAGGCGAGCTTAACTCTAAAAGAGTTCTCTTCCAGCAACACCCAAAGTGGAAAGGAGCATGGGAGTGAAGGAGCCAACCAACCTGCATTCATTGTCACCTATCATCTTCCACTGGTGCCCCGCCGATGTATACCGATAGCGCGGGCGGGGATATCATTTCATTTTCACTCATTAAAGCTACTATTGCAAACAGTAGAGATAAGTGGAATAGTTATGCCACTTTTCCCTTATCATTCTCCATCTCATATAGTACCTACCTGTATACCAATTTACATAGTGATTAATTAAATAAGTTAAGACGCTAAAAAATAATAAATAAACAAACTTATTCACACTTTTTTTTTAATATTAATAAGGATAACGTATGTAAACAATTGTATATAAAATTTAATTATATAAAAATAAATCCACGTTGTCGTAATTAGAACTTGCACCTTATAACTGCCATATCGAGGCCAGTTGATAAGAAGTAACTACTTCGCCATCCACATATCAACCTACATATATATGTACATAATTTGTTTTTATGGGTGATAATGGTAATGGAAACCCCACCCGCGCTATCGGTATACACCGGCGGGGCACCAGTAAAAGATGATAGGTGAGGAGATGAAGCAGGTCAATTAGCCCATCGTGACGAATTCAACAAGACTTGTTTACGATGGTTTCCAGGGGGAACTTTGTGGAGGTCGACCTAATAGGGCGTATTGCTAGCAATGGGGCTGTCACACTCCATTACTAACAATCCCTTTCCCCCCTTGTACATAAACATTAGCACTGTAGGCTTATTTGACATTCTCGTTTGGTAACATCACATTCTTTGCATATTCCATATAATAACCGTCATCATTATTTTAGCTTTTAATAGACCACTAAACACAAGTCTCTCCTAGAAAGGCCTTGCCATTAGTTGCCATGCTTGGCAGGCGGATTGGCAACCGCAGTTAGGCTTTAGAGATGTTTTAAGCGGGATACTGCTCCCCATCCCTCGGCCTCCCTTAATCGCCTTACGACATGCACGTGAAAGAAAGAGATAGCCTATTACTATACCGGGACCATACGACATATGAAAAATGAATCAAATTTGAATCGAAATCACATCCAATAATTGTCAAATTGAATTAGACCACCAATCAATTGACCCCAATTCCTTTGCGTCAAAAGTCATGGAACTATTAATAACAATGTACCATTTATTGAAAAATCAATTTTCATGACCTCACATTCTTTGCAATAAACAAGGACCTCTTGGTAAACTTTCGGATTAAATTGAAATATCGCATCGAAAAGACGTCAAATTAAACTAATAACAATGTCCACTCGACGTCTGTTTTATATTTGGAATCAATTTTTAAACGTTACCACGTCCAATGAACGTCAAACTTTATTGGGATCTCAATCTATTGATCCCAATTCAATCGCGTAAAAAGTCAAGCTGCTGATTGAAAGACTTACACATTTATGACATTTATTTATTATGCGTTGTATATTTTTTTATTAACTTCATTATATATATATATATATATATATATATATATATATATATATATATATATATATATATATATATATATATATATATATATATATATATATATTAAACTAATATTTTGACAGCTACTTCGTACGCGTGATTTTTTATTTTCAGAAGTAGGAAAATATACCACCTTTAAATGGCGTAAAAAGATAAAACCTTAGATTATATAGAGTGTCTCCATACAAATGCTTCGAGAAAAGCGGGTCAACTTTTTTTTTATTTTGACTTCTCTTCCTCTTATTGAGGTTCAGTCAGTTTTATATTTTAGCAATAGACATGTGATGCTTGGAGAAGAAGAGACCAGAGGGAGACTTTGTACAAAAGTCGTTTGCTTGGGTGCCTCTGTCCCATTCTTGTTTCAACCGTAAAGCAGTTGTGTTTGCATGGCTATGTTTCGGTTTGAAGGGTGGGATATGGCGTTAATTTACAGGGTACAGAGGAATAACACCTGAGTCCTCAGGAATGGCAACGCATGGGGGGTATCATGGGCGAAACAGTATACTATGTTATGTCCATGGTACTGCTCATGTCTATAGGCGACGGTTACCTCTTTCCATCAGGTGGGCCGTCAGCTTGTTCGCCATTCTAAGTTGTATGAAAAAAAAGAGAGAATATGGTAAGGAATAACGTATGAATTTGGATGGTTATAAGTACAGAGGGAGACCCAGAAAGAGAGAGAAGAGAGTAAAAAATGATATTGCCAGAAAAGGAGTAACTACTAACAGGGCTAGAAATAGAGGCGAATGAAAAAGTATATTACGCCGACCTAAAATAGACGTGGAAAAATAGCAATCTTATCAATTTCTTAGCTTATTGCTAAGAACATAATGCCAGTTGTCGATATTATCACAAGGGCATGTTGAAACTTTCCCTCGTACGTTAAGCGCATCTGTTCTTCCCACGTTTGTCCACCCCTCTCATACTGTTAACCGTGAAGATTGATATGTCCGTGGGAACAGGCCATAGTGAATATCTCAATTGTTTCACCTTATACGATGCATCGTGTAACGCTTTATAATTTCACTGAATAATATGTCCCATGCTACGTGGAGAGAGTCACATGTCTGTATGACTCAAACGTATGTATGTGTGTATATGACTAACACATTTATCACAATGTCTTCTGTACATACATGGTGTTGTTTATATTAATATATGACGGTTACCACTTCCGATCCAGGTGCACCGTCAATTTCTTTAATATTGCAATTATCATTAAATATATATAATATTAAATAGAGACTTCGTGTACGAGTGCTGCGTACGTGTGTGTGCGTGTGTACGTGTGCGCGTGTGTGCGCAAGTGCGTGTGCGCATGTGTGTGTGTGCGTGCGTGCGTATATGTGTTATTGTAAATTCTACTATTCCAAATACATTATTCTAAATCCTAAAATATGTTAATTGAGAGTAAATCCCTTGGCGTTCTGCCTATTGTTTTTGTTATTTGTTTCAACATTTTTCAATACACATTTTATGTATTGAACATATGTAGATTTGCAATTTTGCGATATAACTTTACTAATACGCATAATGTGGAATTATAACATCGAAATCCATTGACATTATTAATTAAACTGAACAATTTGCCTTAAAAATAATAATCCAAGTGTGACTTTATTGCAAATCACGTGAATTTATTTCTAGGAAAAACGTTGTTCAGTTTTGTGAATACTGTGTGTAAGGCAAAACCCACGCAAGGTTTTAGCTTGCTATATATACCTTTTACAACGAATCCTGTAATGTCATGCAATCAATCGGTACAAAATATTTACTCTTTAAAAAAAACTTGTTTTCATATTTTGTAAAATATAATTGAAAATATGTTTATATATATATAGTTTAATCTTTATATATATTTATATATAATTTTTTATATTTTCTTTATTTTTAGTGTTTACTTCACATTAATTACTCAAGCTGTGCACATTATTGGATTATAACCTAGTTGAATCACAAATGTAACTACTATTTAAATTTTGTATGGTTGTGATCGGTTTTGTATCTCAAAAAAAATCCATTAGCTTTATTCACGGTTTTGTATGTCGAATTCCAGATGAGCCCCCGTCACCCCCCGCGCCGGTGAGGCGCGCGCACCCCCCGCGCCACTACTCGCTAATGCACACGCCAGACTCACGGCAGCGCGTGCTAATGCACACGACAGACCCGCGGCGACGCGTGCACCGCTGCGAGTTCCCCGCGTGTGATAAGGTCTACACTAAGAGTTCACACCTCAAGGCGCACAAAAGAACACATACAGGTATGCACGATTTACACAGAACGGTGCGCGCGTTGACGCGAATTTTACGTTAATCTGTGAGTTAGTAAAACAATTATTGAAACCATAGAAATCATTGCTAACTATAAAAGAGTTTCACGCACGCGCTTAAAAAAAAATTTCGTTCGTGTGAGAACACCAAATATGCTTATAAGATTGATTCGAATTGCAAACATTTCACCCAATACAAGTTTTATTCAATATTTTATTTATGCAACTTAGAATGGCAAACAAGCTGACGGCCCACCTGATGGAAAATTATAATCATCGCTTATATACATGAACAGTATCATGGACATAACAAAGTATATTTCGCCCATGATACACAATATACTGAAACGCTTGCTTGAGAATATAAATTCAATATGTATTTAATATTAGTATGAAATTAATTTAATAACTTTCATACAATCTATCTAACATAAATGATACCTGTCAATACCAGCGACTTGCTGATACCTAGATAAACTCTGCAAAGTTTTTGGGTACGGCACATAATTGTACCCTGTATAGAATAAACATATTGAGTAAATACATATAAATTGAAAAAAAAAGAACTTTTATCAGACATCATATATCACAATTTAATCTTTAAAAAGTTTCTTCCACAACCAATTTCAATCGTGATCTTCGTATAACATTGACCTTTTCCGTTTTCAGGGGAGAAACCATACAAGTGTTCGTGGGAAGGCTGCGAGTGGCGGTTCGCCCGCTCCGACGAACTCACCCGACATTACCGTAAACACACGGGCGCGAAGCCGTTCCGTTGCCACCACTGCGACCGCTGCTTCTCGCGCTCCGACCACTTAGCGCTTCACGCGAAACGCCACGCGTAGCCCCAAACCCAACCGCCCGCTCCGAAGAAACGTATCCGCAATCGTGCGCGAAAACAGTAGCCGTACGCGGTGACACGTTTACAATGGGCGCGCGTCTCTTCATGTGCAACTGATTCCGTTTATACATTGTCGTGATTTGTGATCCTTATGGAATTGAACGTTGCGAACAATTGGTATGTTCGCTTAGCGCCGTTTAGTTAGTGTAAGGCGCGCGCCCACGGGGCGGCCGGGCGGGGCGGGGCGGGGTCTCGCGCGAGCGTTTATAACCAAAGAATGCGCTACACACCGTAGCTGAGTCAAAACTCACTTCACATAATGTTTTAACGATTAATTTTTATTATTTAATTAACGACAAAGAGCGGATAATTTGTTTGCAATAGCGCGATATCTGTGGCACCGGCCTCCATGGTTACAGTTCTTTGTTGCTATTAAATGACGTTTTATTATATTAACCGTTGTTTAGTATATAATGTTTTGTATGCTTCGTGTACAGAGAGTTTGTTTATGTCGCTCGGTCGCATAGCGGCCGCGCGCGACACTTGTGCCATCGTCCGCGTAGGCGCGCGGGCGATGCGACGCGGCCGACGCGATGCGAGCCGCGTTGCGCCCGCGCGCTTCCACGCATACATTTTCAATGTGACATAAATTTATTTATTGTTTCGCGGATGCTCGGCTTACGTTCCCACCGGCGCCGGGCACAAACTTTAATTTAGGCTTAGAACGTGCGTCGCGTGACCTGATATTGTCGATATTTCGAATCAGTTACTTGGTGTTTATTTCGCTTATTGGGGAAACGTCCCACGTTTGGAGTCAGGGCGTGCCTACTTGATGCAACATCAGATCTCAATGTTCCGCGTGTCGGCGTTATATTAAGTAGGTTTAGAATATTATTCGACGATGTAGTATTATTAATTATTTATAAAAAAAAAAAAAATATGAATTGCATTTTTGTTAAATTTGTAATATTCAATCGTGTAATTTATTTAATAGTTACGTTCGTAATTTTAAAGAAAAAAAAAATCTCGTATTGAAAGTCGTTTAGTTGATATTTATATTTTACATTACGAATCTTAATTGTATGTTTTGTTTCAAAATTTTTTTTTTTTTTATTTTATGTATTTTACGAGTGACTCCTTCGAGATATCGACGTAAAGTATGTTTATTTTTTAGTATGTTCATTAGTTAAGGTGACGATATAGATTTATTTAGATATATAAACGATTTTTTATCACTTTACATATATATGGCTCTTGTGGTTTAAAATACGTGTGACTGATTGACGTGTCAATCTACGATCGAGTGTCAGTCACGTAAGGTTTGCGGAGATTTATTGATATACACACAAATCATTATAAAAATAGAGATTTCTGTAATGATTATTTACCTTACCTTTTTTATATTAAGACATATTTACATTGGATCAGTTGCGACCGTTACTAGGGCCATGACTTATGAAAAATGTGCATCAATACAACGCAATAGGTCAGCGCTGACTTTTATATGACAAGGATGAATTATTGATGTAAAGACACTGATTTGTCTCGAATTTGTACTCTGCAATAAGACTTATTGGTGTTTTAATTAAAAAAAAAAAATATTTCTACTGAAACAATAAATTATTTTTGAAATGAAAATAATGTTAAATTATTTGATAAGTTTGTTGGAATGGTGAGTGGGCTTGTCAACCTATTGACAAATATCCGAGGTCATCGCCCTTTAGTGCGTAACAGTGTTGTCCTAATAACTTCATACTTTGATATTACAATTTTCAAAAAAGAATTGATCAAACAAGAATAAATTTGTATTAATTTCTCTCTTATATTTTTCGTTGTTAGATTATAAAATTATTATATAGAGTTCTAGAACTTATGGTAATAATAATAGTGATCAATTTTCGAATGTTAGCAATCGCCCACATAGTAATGGTAGCGGAATTAAAAAAAAAGTCTAACACGTTATTGGGTTGTTCAAGATTTTCGGTTTAACAATATGAAAGTGATGAAGTTTCTTATGAATATTGTGATGAATTGTGTGATGATCCTATGATGGTGATATGATTCGTTTTGATCCTATATATTTTTTATATCTTTCTCAAATATCTTCCTTTTATTTTCAATATTTACAGTCTCCGCAAACCGTACCATTTAATCTAATTCAGAATGCTTCTAATTTAGTCGAGTAATTAATAAATAATTTAGTTTACTAAATTTTTGTTATCTATATACGTTAAGCTACTAAATTATTAGTTACTCGACTGAAGCGAAGCAATCCGAATTAGTTTTTAGAGCTGTACAATAAATAATCCTATTCACCTTCTCTTTTGCTTTTCCATTCCGTTGAACTTCGCTGTGCAGTGTGATATATGCGCAATTCTTTTATTAATTAAAAATCTGCACAGCCGAGTTATTTATGACATTATGACGTGTCACCTCTGCGCACTTGTAAAGATCAATATTTTTTTTTAGAATAAACATTAACCTACAGGGAATTGTATTCTGTAGTTTTTTTTTTTTATTTTATTTTATATTAAAAAGTGCGCACAGGTGACGTGCAACAAGTTGATTCTAAAGCACAGTCGCCATTTTTTAGTCGAAATTTTTAAGGCCCTTTGCGACGCGTGTCATTTGATAACGATGCCGCGTCCGCTAATAGTGAAACTAGCCTTTTAGTGACCTAACTGCCAACAATTTGTATGGCAAAATTTGCACAGTAAATGCAATTGTGCATGTTCAACGGGATAGCGTGCATTATGTTTATAATTTAACAAATTATATACGGGATTTGGTTTTTAAAATTATATCAGATCTGAATGCGAAGGTGGGATCTCAGATCCCACTACAGTTCATTGGTGGGAAATGATAAATTATTATCACTCTATATTATATGTTTAAAAAAAATTACACAACGTTTACCCGTTTGTGAGTAGCGAAAGTGATTTAGAAACTCTCGACGCTAGAGGACGTCGTCGTCACACAGTAAAGCAGATTTTGCCAATACAAGTAATGTGCAAATAAGACTTAGCGTAAACAAAACGCTCAAAATAAGTTAGCTTTTATCAAATAGTTTGATGATATATATTAATTTTTTAATTAAATAATAGTGCCAGAGCCACCGAACATTGTTTTTGGATGCCTTTTTCTTAACTACAATAAGTACAACGACTGTAATGAGATCAATAATGAATAAACTGCCATAGAATATTGCGTATGTTGATAATGGGCACACTCGGATCGGAAATAATTAGTGAAAGTAATTTAATTGAAAATTAGTAAAACTAATTTAATTAAAAGTTAGTGAAACTAATTAAAAATGAACTAATTGAATTAAAAATTAGTGAAACTAATTTTTTTATGAGTAATATTTGAATTTAATGAATTATTTTAACTGTTCCAATGTTACTTTTTAATATTGTAAATAAATTTTCAGATGGTTTTTATTGATATTTGTTCGTGTATCTTGCAATTACGTATTACCTAATGTGTGATAGTAATGCATGATGTATTTAATAAATATAAGGACATATGGATTGGAGTATGACTTTGAATACTTTTTTATATTATTAAATCTGCTTTTTATAAAACTGCAATAAAAACATTTTTTACTGAATTGTAATTATTAAAAAATATAAACTATATTAATAAGTAATAGTAATAGGATTATAGGGCTTACAAATGTTCGATAATTTTGACAATCGAATATTCGGGTTTTGTTTTTCGGCTTAGTATTCGAATATCCGAATATTATTCGAACAATCTAAAAAAAAAATTAAAGGAAAAATAGTATATTCCTCTATAAATAAAGCATTATTTCATATGGGCGACTGTGATGAAAACTAAATATTTGCTCTGCCATCCCTGTCTATAGTCAAATATTTCTTCTTTCCATATTGTGAAGAGGAAATTGTAAAAAGGGATAAATTAAGATACCTAATTATAAAAGACACCAAATACTAAGCAAAATTGGTGAGAAAATTGAGTCCAAAGACTGACTCTGGTAGCCTGGAACAATTCCTAGGATAAATATATCCAAGTAGAAGCTAATGAAACATTATCAAATATTTTCCCGAACAAAAATCAACGCTATAGTAAAACGCAAAGAGCATCATTCTGGCTGTTTTGTTTCTTTACCTCGAAAACTTTGTAGAGAAGAAATCTCTCGGTTCAAATTAATTTAACTAAATATATTTTCTTTATTAATAAAGAAAATAAGGCTATAAAAAATTTCTAATATATTCCAATAGCACTGATTTACCGTATGAATATTAATTCTGAAATAATATTCGAATATTCGAATGCAAGCCCTAAATAGGATACACAAGTAATATAATTTCCGGTCCGACTGTACCCAGCTACATTATCTTAAATCTTATGACGGTTAGTGTATGATAAAATACAGTTTGTCTGTTTGCATGTGTTTTGGCTGTTCTCTAAGGAATAAAACTCCCGGGGGCCAATATCTTAGTCTTCCCGAATTTAATTAAAATAATTTTGTACATCATAACGTTCTCGGGACACAGCGGGTTTTACAAATCGACTTTGAACGGTTCATTTGGAGAAATTTTATTAATAAAACTTTAGGTTAAATAATAAAACATAACGAGTGAGAAAAATAATAAAACGATTTAATCATTAAATTAATAAGAATTATTCGCTAAAAAATAAAACGAAATAAATTTACCACTCGGGTTGTTGAAATGTTTAATTAATATTAGTTTGAAAGCGTTTATGGCACGAATGCGACGCATATTATACGCCCTTTTTGCACTGCCAATGTTTAGGTATAGGCGTTTTATTTATTATTAATTCTACCGCTACGTCGTGTTTTATAAAAACCCGATAATAAAACAGTCATTAACGACAACGAATGACTAAACTAGAACGGAAAAATATACAGCGTGTTTTATTAAATAACGATAATTATGTTAAAATTCATGAGATTTGTAGTCGCTTTTAATTGTTTATCTTTATGAAATTAAATCTTTTATTAGTATAAAATAAATTTATAAAAATAAAAAAAAAAATACTAAAAATTTAAAATCGTACGAGCTTTCAATGTTTATTATTGTGATCTTTTTAAAGTACCTAGTCTTTGGTCATTAGTGCTTTGTAATTCTATTGAGATTTTGTGTCAAAACGATTGACAGTAATTTTTTTTATAAATGAAATTACTTTTAAATTTTTTAAACGCCTCGGCGTTGCCAGCGTTTGTTTCTATGCTAAATTTATATATATATATATATATATATATATATATATATATATATATATATATATATATATTATTAATAATAAGTAGAAGAAAAAAACAGTAAAATAAATAAAATGAATAAAATACGTAAAATTAATGGATGGTAAAAGATATATATGTATTTAAAATCGAATTTAGATTTTAAATGTTAAAAACATTAGGATTAAAATAAAACCCATCATCAACATTGTTTAAGAGATTGGGTGTAGGTGGAAAATTATTTAATCTTTAATCAAATTATTTGTTTAGTTGAAAAAAATAGCAATTATGTATTAGTAAAAGAAATATGCAATTTTTGAAAGCGAGACGTTATAGAAAGTACAATTCAGTGTTACTTAATAGGTAAGCTAAACATATTTGAATTTGGAACTACACCAAATCTCTTAAACTTAATAAAAACAATACATAAAATTTCATAGTACCCTATATATGTAGTGATTTTTGTATTGTTTATTTAGCGTACATAAAATATCTAGATACATGTATGGATGTAAATGGGAAACGGTGAATTTAGCGTTAAGAAATACTAAAAATTTAATGTGATTCATAATTTATTCACATACATTTTTATATTAAGGTACGGACAAACTATGTATGAGTGTGCGACATGAATGCATGTCACCACTTTTGCTTCATGGCGACCGTTAGATATACATATTTATTAACTATATGATTAAATATATAATGCACGATGGCTGAATAAGTAGTGGGGTAGATAAAAAAATATACATACATTTGTATATGAAATAATATAAAAAAAATTATACATAATTATTATTGAATAGTAAAAAAAATTATATGTGTATAAAAATTGCGGCTGTGTGTTAAAGAATCAACCTGTATTTAGGGTATGTAAATCAACTAAATTAGGTAGCACTATATTTTTTTTTTAATTTTATTTTACTATTTATGACAATGTTTTTTTAATTATATATATATTTTCTGAGTATACCTTATAAATTATTGTAAACCTATTAGGTATTATAATTATTAGACTATATTATCATTTTTATCACAATTTTCTAAATTAATATCAACTTATATTAACTGTTGGTGTTGAAATGTTGTAACGGTTTTATTTCAGTTTATAATTGCATACAAATTGCTATTTGAAATAATCAAATTTATTTACAAGTAACTTACTATGGTAATGCACTTTTGAAGTGTAATATATAAATATAATTACACTCATTATTTATTATATTCGCGCGTTATTTATATAAATCTTAATGATATTTAATAAAACATAAATGACAAGTTATTAAATTGGCACGTATGTTTATAATTGTGCTTAAATATTGAACATTGTTTTGTACATTGTCTCTTTATATTATTTCTATTATTATTAGTGTTATTGCCTCTTTTTGACAATTATTATTTGTTTAAAACAAGTTATTGTGAAACGATTTACTTATGTGTACATTCCATGTGCCACTTAACTTGGTTGGTTTATAAAGAACACGTGAGGCTCGATGTGTTCGAATTATTATGAATTTTATACAAACATAATCGTCAGTCACTAATAGACATTGTAATGTAATTATATAATTAGATATTATACAAGACATTTATCAATAAATTTTACAATTATTTGTAATTTAATTGAATGCTTTTAGAACAATTGATTGTATTGCAAATTTATTTTTATTTTTATATATTTTAATAATTAATTGTAAAGATTAAATAGACTTTTTTTCTTATAATTTTCAGACGGTTGGACATAATTGTATAATATTACATTCCCCATCAGCCACTAACTGTCCACTGCTGAACATAGGCTTCCTGTAAAGAGGGCATCGCTAGTAGTTGCTCGGCTTGGCAGACGGACTGGAATCCGTAGTTAGGCTTTGGTGATGTCTTAAGAGGGACGCTGATGTCCATCCTTCGGAGATTAATTTAAATAATGTTACATTACAGAGGAATTATTCCTAAGGGATTGCTTACCAATAAAACTGTCTCTTGTACTATATATACTATACTTATTGAAAATCTTTCAAAAATTCATGTAATATGGGTATAATAAAGTGTTAATATGAGGATTGCATTCAAAACTGCAGTCGTTAAAAGACTCCTGTCTACCTCAATCGATATACAACCGTGAACATATTGTTTATACTGCCACATTGTAGTCAATAAAGGAATGATTCACGTGGCTCTGAAGTTAAAGAGTTCTGCTTCCAATATTTCTAAGGTGATTTTTTTTTATTTTTTACTAGTTACTCCCTATTCAGTCGTTCTGTTTTGCGCCCTAGATCCTCCCTCTCTCTCTCTCTCTCTCTATCTCTATCTCTATTTAATTATTATATCAAAAATCTATTTTACTTAACTCTGATTTGATAGAATCTGACAAAAGTTTATATAATCTTTTTTTTTTTTTGAAGCTTTAGTAATAAACTGTAATCAATGATATTTCATTTAGATGATTTTTATTAGCAACAACTGAACATTTTTTTCAAGAATACATTACTGAACAAAGAAGGAGGTCCTTATAGACTGCCATATGGAACAGCGAAGGACTTAAATGCATTGCAGACTCCCTGCAGTGTATTTGAATTCATCGCTCCACCTAGTGGGAAGTCGCCACTCAGGTGACTTTTTTCCTCTACCGGTTATCGGTTTTTCTAGCTATGTGACCAGGTCATTGCCACTTCACTTTGCTTATCCTTCAAATTAGTACGTTTATAAGTGACACAGGAAGAAATGTTCAGTTTTACTTAAAAAAAAATCTGTTTTTGTAAAAAATTTTAATATCACCCTGTATAGTACGATTTAAACTTATACAAAGGAATTTTTATTAAGACTTACATTTAAATATATAATAACTGATCATATATTCTGATATATTAACGTTTAACAATAACAGACATAGCACATCGAGCCTCATTATAATTATATGAAGTAGTTTTAAATGGATTGAATAAAAACGGCTTCATTATTCTTCCAAACGGCCGTTTGATTGTATATACTGCGTTTATATAGTTATATTAATCATATATATATATATTTACAAAGGAATATTTTTATTTTGAATTTTTTTTTTATTACTTTTTCAAACGAGTCGTGTATGGGGCACTGCCGTACGGACGGAGTGGCATTGCATTTTGCATTTTATATTAATAAAATTTTCTTATATGTGGACGTTTTTGTGTTTTATTTCATATTTATCTATGTATCTATGATTATTACGATCCCCTTATTTGTATGAGTGAAAATAGAAAACTGTTTTTTAATGGGTGTTTATGGAATGGTTACCCAAACTGCGATAACGGTATACGCTGACAGACCACTGACTTGCTTGTAATATACCCATATTACTAGCAATAAGCTTGTTAGGTCCCTATTACTAACAATACCCCCTAAGTAACAAGTTAACCCTTCTTTGCATAATGGTGGAAATTTCCATCATAACATTGAATGCACAAAAATTATGTAAAAAAACAAGTTCACGTTAAGTTGATCGTGTGTGAACACCTTTTTAATGTCCATTGCAGAAAAAAAAAATATAGTTGTAAAATTTATTTTTTTAAACATTTTTCCTTTAATTTTGAACTTGAATTATATGGGCATTTCTCTGTAAGCTCGTACAGGTCCCATACAAATGCTGTCTTGACAATTATTTTTGCCATTTACCAAAAAATCCTGTCGTATTTCAAAGAAAATTAACTATTAGATAAGGCCCACTGAATCCATACATATTTTCCGAATTATTAGCGATTTTTTAAAAAAAATGACTGGACTGTTTGAGATATCACGGGACTGTTACAGGTCCATCGCTAAAGAAATGCGCCCGTTCGATGCCACATAGAAGAGTCTTGAAAATTGGTCGTAGATGTGTCCAAATGGCATCAGATGAATGGGCTCGGAGACTATGCAAAAAGGAAAAAATTGAATTTCGTGGGTAAACTACTAAGGTATGCAGGCTCAGTTGTGCTCGAGATCCAACGAAATGAAAGGCCTGTATCTTTTTTGCGTATTTAGTGCTATAATTCTCGCTAAAATCTACGTGGATCAAAACTTCATCATCTTGTACGTTTGACTTCAAATCATTCATTGTTTTATATTGGTGAACAATATTTTGCTGGTGATCCAAAAATTTGTGTAAATCTTTCTGTAAATTTGTTATGAGCTGTCTTGGCATCCAGATGTTTCTTTTTTTCAAATATTTAATCACAAGTCGGGGCTATTATATTTTATAACCTTTCTGTCATTGATTTTTTTTTATTTTGGGTTTTTATCAAGGCAAGTATGACATGATCTCGCCAAACAATTCACATTATATCGGTCGCAACATAGATCTTCCAGCAACTTTTAGTGATTGTTGCAAGTCAATATATTGTTATTAGTATGAAGTGCGCTAAACTTCATGTCTGTGTTACTATGAACTATGCAACGACACGTATCGTGGTTTTGAGCTTACAACGTATTTTGGTTTTACAACCCAAAATGGACGTAGTCGGCAAAATGTATGGCAACTAATTTTTATGTGCCCAGTAATAAACGTTTTATAAAGATTAAAAACTGTGTCAAGAAGATATCTTTTTTTGTGAAGATATCCTTCACAGTTTTTCTAGTTATAAATTCTTTTTTACTGGCTCCTATACGGCTATTACTATCATCTTCGAAGAAATTCTAAACAGCTCTTTTGTAAATATCAGGTATTTTACATCGTTTAGCTACAGGTACATCTAAACCATTTTCAATAATATTCTATCTATCAATTAAGGGCACTTAATGTTTGACAGATGGGTAGAAGCGTCCCTTGAAACATCATCAAAAACCCAACTGCGGTCGCCAACCTGCCAAGCGTGGCTATCACTGCTAAAACCCCTCTATGAGGGATGACGATAAAATAATAAATATGTTGTTGTAAATAGCAGGATGCAGTAATAATATATATATGTATTTGTGATATAATAATAAATTTAGTGAAAAAAATACAAGACATGTCTTATAAAAATTTGACATAGAACAAACTTAAAAATAATACATTGTTCTAAAAAAACCTCAGTGTCAACAGCCAGTATTAAAACTCCAACATGTTATGTCAAATTAAAATATGATTATATTATATATATATATATATATATATATATATATATATATATATATATATATATATATATATATATATATATTAAACTGCATCCAAGATGGTGCAGTAGTTTTTTTGTGATGCCGGAACAAACATGCAGACAGACAGAATCTTTAAAAATGTACATACTTATGTACAAACATCATCTAGTTACAATTTTATTATATTAGTAAGATAATGCCTAAAAAGAGAAAATTCAAGTTGACCGTTTCTTCTTTTTATCCCCTCTTTACCTTAAACTCAATGACAAATATATTTAAAATGAATTCCAAATTAATATATAGCTGTTTGATAAAACATATTTACGTCGTTGACCGTCTACGAAGGTATAATGAATAACAGTCGCACAGGAATAAATAAAATAGATACATGTCTATTAAACTGTGATACATATTTACTATAGTTATTTTATTATTTTATGTAAATTTAATTGCAACATTTAATTTTTTTGTGGCCACCCTGTCTCTTCGCATTGTCATTGGACTGCTTGGCGGGCTTTTCAAAAATTTTCAAATTAAAAATAAAAAAAAATAATTGTATATTTTACTGCAAATAGTTTTCTATATATCTAAACATCATGCCTGAGGGGCACGGCGACGTCCCACCTCCGGGCCGAAAAGCTGCAAAGAGACATGAAACTTCTTCAGAAGAACAAGACAAACTATTTATAAAACCGGGTTATAAGCGGATCTTTTCGGAAAATACAAGGGTGAGTGGTGAATACACTGTATTTATTACAAGTTCTACTCGAGAAAAAATTGGAACCTTAATCCTCTAGTACTGGCTAAATTATTCCAAATGAAGTCAAGGGCGTGAGCAACATAAAATGCATTAATGCAACAAAAGTCGGAGTGACACTTTTACTATCTAATAACGCTAACAACTTTTTGAACAATGAGAACTTTCTCAGTAAGCATGGATATACTGCACACATCCCTGCAGCGGCTGTGGAAATCATCGGCTTACTTCGTTTTGTTCCTACAAGTATAAGTAACGAAGAGTTGTTTAAAAAACTTACTTCTGTATGTAAGATAATTAGACTAAGTAGATTTACAAAAAAAAGTAGATGGTGATGTTAAACCATTTGGGTCTGTCAGATTAATGTTTCTGTCTGGAAGTCTACCAGACTATGTCTATCTAGATATATTTAGATATAAAGTACATGAATATATGGCTCCTCTCTTACAGTGCTACAAATGTTTTAAATTTAATCATGGTGCTAAGTTTTGCAAAACTTCACAAAAATGTTTAGTATGCGCAGGAGACCACCACTTTGCAGACTGTAAAGCAGAGACAGTCAAACAATGTATTAACTGTGGAGGTCAGCACCTTGCTATCTCCAATGTTCAGTTAAAAAGTTTAAAATGGAAGAAAAAAAGCAATAAAGCTAAATATGCACAAGCGGTTGCTTAAAAACTAAGGTAGACTCAAATAACATTACAAAAAACTATGATACCAATTTTCTTGCATTACGAAATAATAATAATAGTCAATCCAAAACAAATATTAAATCGTTCAAATGTAAAATCCTCTATGGTAATCAGTCTATGGGGAAGGTCTATGTCCAGCAGTGGACGAATAATGATTGAAATAAATGAATAAATAAATAAGTTAAAATTGCAATTATTTATTATAATACAGTTAATAAAAAAAATCAATCAGTTTACAGCATGAACAGGATAAAAAATAGATATTAATTTAGGACATTTTCCATATGTATATCAAATTTCATATACATCAAGATATTTATGTATGATTTGGTTAAAAGAAAAAACATGATAAATTTTTGGTTATGTATATATTTAAAAATATCAGAACTTTATTAATCATGTCACATACCATTTTAAATAGAACTTATCATGGAGGTGTGGATAGACTTAGTCTAATTGAATACAATACTGATAAGTTTTTCTTTTTATATTATAAACTACAAATCAAATTCAACTAAATATAAATACAACAATAAATAATCAAGAATAACATCTGTCTTCTCATATCTAATAATGAATCAATTCTTAGCTTATCATATTAAGTTTTTGTGTAAATATTTAAGGTATATTTAATAACAATATTATTTTTAAAATAATAATAGCAAAATTGCATAATAATTATTTATTATGAATACTGACTAGTGTTATTAACACTTGTAAATCTATATCACAATCAATTTCATGACATATTTATTACAATACTAGCTGACCCGGCAAACGTTGTTTTACCATATACATTATTTCTAGAACTATACATGAAAATTTATCGTACTACAATTATTATATTCGATTACCATCTTACAACCCTATTGCGGTATATAAAAATCGCAATTAAAAAACAGGGGTTGATCGTAAAAGCGTGAAAATTTTAATTTGCTAAATCATAATAAAATAAAAATAAAAATTTTTGTTAATAAAGTAAAAAAGAAATTTAGGGGTGGGTTACCCTTTTCATTGAGAGGTATGAAGAATAGATGTTGGCCGACTCTCAGAGCTACTCAATATGCACACAGAATTTCATAAAAATCGGTTATGCCGTTTCGGAGGAGTTTGGTAACAAACATCGTGACACGAGAATTTTATATATTAGATAAATTGAACTAATGACTTTTTATCTATACTAATATTATAATGATTTGTATTTTTGTATTATGGTAACAAATAAAGTCAAAAACTACTGAACTAATTTCAAGAATTCTTTTATCATTACGAGTAGAATTCCGCATTATGCCTATGTAACAAATATAGTCTGTGTACTGTGTAGACCACAGACTATTTTCGAAACTTATCTATCCATGTAAAGCTGGGACAGACAACTAGTTACAAATATAGATCAATTTAGTTTTATTATATGAGCATTCTCCCCTCTCACCGTACTGGTTACGCTTCAAACTCTTTTCTCCTACATTCTTCACGACTCTGGAACGCGCTTCCAGATGCCATTAAGAGACTACTGACTAAACCGTCTTTCAAAAAAAGCGTTTACACTCACTTTTTATCTTTATCCGAGCAGTAAGTGCTTTATATTATTCCCAAATTCGTGTATAATATAGTATATGTCATATATGTGTAAGTATATTTGTTATTCATATATATTTATTCGTTTATGTATGTAATTTTAGTATGTATGTATATCAATAACTAGTAGTACCGCATTCGAGTATTCTGACACTTCCCTATGGTTGACTGGGAGAGAATGCTTTTAGCATTAAGTCCGCCATGTACACATATTTGTACTAATGAATAAATAAAAAAAAATATTATCAAAATCAATTGGTACTTATTTTACCTGTATATAATTATTTTGATATTTGTATAACAATTTACAATTAAATCACTAATGTACACTATTACAGGTTACACAGATAAACATAGATATGACTCCATATATACCAACAATTTTGTTTCACAACAACACAATAATTGACAACACAACTTGCCATTGATTTTGCTATTTAATTTTAACTAAATCCGAGATGAATTTCTTACACTTATTGCTTCTGTTTTTATTAAATAAAGCTTCTAACTGTACTTTCATCAGTTGAATGTATTGATGATAAAATTCTTTTTAAATTTTTTTTTTCTTTTAAATTTTCATTTAGCTTTTCAGCAACTTCTAAAGACCTATTAAGTCTTTGTTGCTTCGTTCTTGCCCTAGTTGGTATAGTGTCTGTAAAAATTTACATATACAAAGATTAACACAGACAAAGCTATGGAAGATAGATAATTAGTATATAAAACTGTTTGTTAATCTACTAATATGCAAAATTTAATTTAAATCCAATTAGCCAAATAAGTATGATTAAAAACGAAACATCCAAACTTTTTTAAAAGCTTCCACATTTATATTTGCTATTACTGGTCACTTTCCTCATGTGAATCAGTACAATATCCTGTCTTAACTTATAATATAAGCTATCTATCACACACACACACACACACACGCACACATAGTCTGTATTTTGTTTTTTTTTGTTAACTTTGCCTAAGTTATATACCAGAAATAAGTCTTAATGTTAAGTTTATTCTTACACTTTATATCTTATTATTATTATCTGTGTATTATAACACTAATTGGTTGCCTTGTATTTGTGTAGTCCATGGAGATGGGGCACTGGTGACTTGTAACACAGGTTCCTCTAAACCTACCGCAAGCATCAGTCTCTCACAAAATTGGTCTTCATATAAAATTGTACCTCATGTTGTTACTTTATTCTACCTTTTGTGAAGAAAAAATAAACCATTCATTCATTCATTCATTCATTCTATCGTGTGGATCTGTGCATGGCACTGAGCATGCTTATAATAATTAAATTAATTAATTAACTTAATTATCTGTTAAATCAACAAATTCAGCTCTATGGAATACTTGATACATAGTCTTGGGATATAACTGATCATTTAATTTGATAGTAATACCTTTACATTGTATTGGAGATGTTTGTACTGCAGTATCATTCATAGGTTCAGCTAAAAGTTCTACCACAATCTGGTGATATAGGTTTAACATCTGCTGGTAGACTTTGTGTAGATTCCATTTCTAGTGTATCATTGACATCTGAAATCATAATATTTAGTGTTAAATACCAGAGACATTAAAATCTGTATAATAAAATATCATATCATATATTGCACATTTTTATCCTTACAATAAAATCTTACCAATAAATGACGGTATCCCGACGATGGACTCTTGGCGTCAATGGCATACTCCTTAAAAGATCCTCGTCGGTAGGCGGCTTTGGTGGTGGGCCTCCTCCAGTCATATTTGCCTGCCATCTGGCAAGTGCAATTTTTTTTTTATATTACTTTTTGATCTTGCCATGTCTAAAAAGAAACATATACAAAACTATATATAACATACAAAGGGATAAATACGAGACCATAACAAGTAAAAACAAATAGTTATTTACTTTACGCGAACCTTTCCATGTCTTTTTTGTACCACTAAGAGCATTAAGAGAATCTGCTGTAGTGGCTCACTTTTTTTCACTATTTTTTTTTTTCATTTTTATTATCACTGTTTATTATTAAAAACTTAATAAAATAACAGTGATAAATAAACGTAAAATAAAAATAGTAGCTTTATAATAAAAAATAACAAACAAGATTGACATTCTTTTGCGTTTTACAATTTCGAGTACTACATATGGCATTCCGTTGTAGGAAATATTGGGATTAAATATTTATTTCGCTGTGTGACGAAATTAATAACTTATTAATCATTGATAAAAATTGAATAAATACCTATAGAAAATATGAAAAATAATTATAAAGCGAAAATTTTATATTACATTGTAAATTCTAAGTCATTTTATAGTTTATAAAATATCTAAAAATTTAAATGAAAGTTCGTAGAACGGATTTCATGTTGCAATGTGTAGTGGGATAATCATATCTAAAAAATGGCAACATTTTTCTCTTACACTCGAGATCGTCTCTAATTATATCTCGATTTGTGCTGAGAATATGTAATTCGAGAAAATGACTTCTAATATCGAGATTTTGTAGTAGAGAAAGGATTCGAATTGCAATCTCTATTTCAAGATTATCTCGAATAACGAATCGAAATGAGAATTGGCCTCCAGGTTCTATATAAAATAAAGAAGGATATTAATTTTTTATTTCGAACAATGAATATATCCAGGAAACATGGAGAAAATCGAGGGTAAAAGCTAATTTACTAAAGCTTAAAAGTTGTAATAATAACTTGAAAAATTATAAAGTCTGATGAAGTATTTATGTGCCTGAACTCAAGTTCATAAGTTAGTACAAAAATTTTCGAATACCAAAAAATATCAACTCTTTAAAATATTGATATTGAGGGTTCAAAGGGCGCATATATTATTTATAAACGCAATCAGTAAAGAAAATAGAACACCAGCTCTTTGAGCTTTCCAATGACAACCCTATATTTTTAAATCATCTATATTCTACAGTTTACAGATGGCTAGTTCGAAGTTTAACATCCTCCAAACGGCAAGAAAAATAAAAGTAATAAAAATTAACTTTTAAAGAAATAATAATTCTATTATAATGACCGTGTAAAGTTATTACTCTTAACTCTTTATTCTATATCTAGGCAGTTAACCAATAGTACATTTATCAGTTATAAAAGAGATTGGATAAGTACCTAAACAGTAAATTCCTAAGACAATTTATTTTGTTTAAATTATAATCAAATGCAAAATAAAAGTATACTTGCGTTACAAAATAAATGAAGGCTTACCTGAGATTCATTTAAAATACCAGCTGATAATCGACGTGCTAGTCTGCAATTTCTTAAGTAATCGATGTATTTATACCAATCTCGAAACTTAGAAAATAAGTCAGCCGGTAACTCTTCATCCCATGGCAAATTACGATGCCATGTCTCTTGCAAAATTAATTTAGGGATTACCGTAACAGGCGAAGTAAAACCTATAGGATCGAATATTCTGTGTGTCAATGACAATAAGTCCCGTTTTGTTATCTTCTGAAATGTTTCTAGTTTTCGCATGTTATCACAATTACAAAACAATTCATCTGAAATTGTGTCCCAAATACTAGATGACGATGTCCTGTCACGGTCGCCACGTTTAAGATATTGATATTCAGGGTTCGAAGGGCGCATATATTATTTATAAACGCAATCAGTAAAGAAAATAAAACACCAAGCTCTTTGAGCTTTCCAATGACAACAATATATTTTTAAATCATCTATATTCTACAGTTTACAGATGGCCAGTTCGAAGTTTAACAAACTCAGCTCATCATTATTTTCCGTAGTGGTTAGTGTAATTACTTGTTAAATCTCTAATCTGTGGTGGCAAATAGTTATGAAAACCGACACAAGTTTTTAAGTAATCTTTGAGTAAAAATAAAAAGTTGCATTTGGCAACACCGTACTTATAGTTTTCTGTATTCTATTGTCTATTATTCGTTTCGTCAGTATATATAAGATTGCAGCAAACTTTTCATATTTCTCTACTTTGTTTCTTTGTCGCTTCCGGTTCTCGCTCTTTTTTGTAGAACATAACTTGCAGTCTTGGTCCTATAAATATTACAAAATGAAAAGGTAAATAGTTAAATTTTTGGCTAACACTAACAAATGTTTATTTTGGCTCATTTTTTTGTTAAACCTACTACCGGGAAACGCCGACTATGTTTTGAATTTGTTTCTGACTCTGATTTTATTTTATTTTTTTCTTGACCGCGGATAATTAGCTGTTAAAATAGATTAATTCCATAATTGGTAAAATATGTTTATAGTTGAACAATACACCATTTTATTGTAAAAAAAAAGAAACTACCTACCTTCTTTGAAAATAGAAATTTTTTTCTCTGTAATTCATATTAATTTCTCTTTTTATCTTTAATTTCTTTTTACAACTACATTACAGAGTTGAAATATGATGTAATTACAAATCGGATAGAAGATTTTTAACATATTTTTGTTATAAAAGTTAAATTTATTTTCTTCAACCACCCACTTTTGCCAAAATGTGCCTTAGTTTTTTTTTACTCCTAGCCACGTGGCAAACTTGCCATGGTGCAAACATTTTGTAGAAAACCTCCTAAATTTTAGAAAATATTTTTTAGTTTTATTCATATGCTTCGTGCATTTACCAATTACATTGGACCTCCTAAATTTTAGAAAATATTTTTTAGTTTTATTCATATGCTTCGTGCATTTACCAATTACATTGGACAGAAACAGTGGATTACCCAATGTATCGGCAGCATAATACAGGGATCAGGTCGCTACAGTCTTGCAGACCCCTATTTTGGTTTCTAAGATTTTATATTTCCATTTTTTCCCACCTGTGCTATCAGTATACATTGGTGCCCCCAGTGAGGAATGATATGATGAGTAGAGTCACCTACTCTAAAAAGGCATGTCCATTGGTCCATCATAATGAATACATCCGGAATCCGGACAACAATATGACTCGTAGTCTACGTTACTGACAATGTCTTACCCCTTCATCATTTTATTTAGACTAACAATGTCATTATATTATCCAGGTTAAAAGCATCATTATATTATTTAAGTTAACAATCTCAAATACTATGCAGCTATTAATTTTTAAATTTGTTTAGTAATTGGATTTTAAAATGCAACAATACTTATTGTTATTTTGATTTTAAAACTAAATTACTGTACCGTTTTTGATAAAATTTGGATAGGATCAATCTGAAATTATATTCTTTCAGATAAAAAGATTTTTCAAATCGATTTACAATTGATAGAATTATTAGGTTTTGTAGTTTAAGAGTTTTTTTTAGAACTTGTTAATTTTGGATTTTATACTTTTATTTAGCCATCTTTTTCCATCAGCAAAGAGTCTTTCACAAAAAATATATTTAGGATGGCTATTACTTGCATCTTTACTTATTTGAGTACAACATGGCATAACCGCCATTTTGTGTTAAATAAATAACACCTAACCCCCTTGAAAAAAAAACTTTCCAGTAATTTACATTCATTTCTCTTTTTATCTTTAACTACTTTTTAGAACTACACCCCAGAGTTAATATATTGTATTATCACAAATAGGAATGCAGATTTATAACATGGCTTAACCGCCATTTTGTGTTAAATAAAATAAACTTTTTCTTGTAATTCATATTAATTTTTTTTTTATCTTTAACTACTTTCTTCTTACAATATAATTTATTGTTTTTAGTTTAATGTGCATATATTTAAATTTATTACTTTTATTATTAGGTCGTTTCTTATTTAATAACATAGGGTGATAGGTCAATATGAAGAGGGTTCAGTGGGCCCATTGTGACGGGTGGTTCATCCGGAATTAACTATGATGATACTAGGGCCTCGTGAAGGCCTCCTTACAATATATCGCTACCAATGGGGATAATAGTCCCCATTACTAACTTCTAAGTTAAAAAATATAAATTTCTTTAACAGGAAGGTCAAAGCCCATCGTAAGTTCGCTCAAGGTGCATACGTGCCTCCATTGCAGCGTACCAACAATAACGTACAGAAGAGAGCGAATGGCGTCAAAGACGATCAGAAGGTCTGCGTCACCCACCACGACGTATCTCCCAGTGTATTCTTGGATGTAGTCTCATTTGCAAGTAAGTATTCTTATTGTAAATGATCTAATCTTAAAGGAAAAATGGTTTTGATTGGTCCAACCGACTTCAAAAAAAGAATGTTGTAAATTCGGTCGTGTTTTGTTTTCAGATTACTTGGTCTGGTGCCCACGATGCAGGTTCACCTAGTGTGGGGCACCATTGTAACTTAGTTTTTTCTAAATATTTTTTCTTTATGTTTCTTACTGAGTATGCAGTTAGTAAATTGTTTGTTTATTAAGAGGTTTTTAATAATTGTTAATTTAGCACTGCACGTAATGTAAATGGTAAATGTGTGTCATTTGAAATGTCTCCTTTTTAGCTTATCACCTTAAGAGGAACCAACATGGGAACTTCTCTAAATGAGACCTTTGACTCATGTACAGACATGGTTGCATCCGACTCATAGCGTCTCTGTTTTCACAATTTGAAGCCACAATTGCTCGATAAAAAGAAGGGAATGACTACAAATATAACGCTGAAAAATCTAAACTGTCCATTTATTATATATATATATATATATATATATATATATATATATATATATAATTTGTAGGATCACATCTCTAAAGCCTAACTGCAGTTGCCAATTCGCCTATCATGGGTGGCAACTACGGGCAGGACTGTCGTCTTAATACTATACAAAGTTTGTCACTATTAAATATTGATTTTTTTAACAACAAAATTTTATTTCAGATCTGCACGTTTACGAGAAAATGTAGCCGGTTGTTCGTTTAGAACGCTTAAAGACTCCTCTCCAAAAGATTTAGATCCGGCACAAGCAATAAAAACACTAAAAAAAAGTAAATACAAAAACGTAAGAACACTAAACGCCTGAATAATGTCAGTTTGAAGTACGTCAGTGAAAATTTGAAACCAAAAACAATCTCAAATTAGATTAAGCACAATAAAAAGAATGAAAGCGGTGGACGACAACGGGGCACCCAGGAGCGACCGGTCAGGAAAAGGAATGCTGATTCGCAAACCCAAAATCTCGACGAAGACGACACGTCATTGGAAATACTTTGCGAAAAACACCAAAAACAAC